CAGTATACCGAGCTGCTTTGACACCATTGCCTCTAACAGGACCGATGTTCTGGAAGACCGCAGGCCCGACCCTCTGTGCAAGACCAATTCCACTCCACACCATGAAGCTCGGACCACCCCACGAGTCTCTCTCAACAACACAAGCATCCGAATAACGTTCCCCACGGCGGCGTCATACTCTCTCTATCTGCCATCTGCCGTTGATATACTGTGACGGCTCTCGTCTCCGAAGAGGACTGGTGGTGCCAATGGTCTTTGTGGCCTGTGGCAGTGGAGGTGTCTGCTCGGCAATCATCAATGCACGGTGTCCGCACTAATGTGTCGCTGGTGTGTCCCAATTGTCTGTCGAGCAGTTCCCGCAGCAGCAACGAAGCGATCTTGAAGATGCTATCGCACAATCTGACGATCCTGACGTCGAATGGTGACCCTCGGTCATCTGTAGTGTTGGTGGTCTGGTACCGTTGCTAGAGCCTGTATATTAGTGCTGACTATTTGTCTGGAAATCACTATTGCAATAACTATTGATACCGCAAGCAACCATTGCGATAAATATTGATAGTTTTTAGTGTATCATTTTAGAACGATTTTAAAGTTGAATTAAACTTTGTCACTGAAGTCTCCTTTGAATGTGATAACAATAACAACACATAAAAAGTCTGAGACATGAATGATTTGTTTTTTCTTTACCTTAAAATTTACGAAAAAGAAACTTCCAAATTACCATGTGAAAATTACCACCACTCATGATCAAAAGAACCACAAATTTGTATGTATTTTGAATACAATCGAAACTATCGATTTTCCTAACTGAAATCGATACTATTGCTCGGAAACTTATTTAACAATCGATTTAATGTTTTTAAGTGCTTACGCATAGCAATATATCGATATTTTGTGGCACCCCTACTGTATATTGTCCTTACATGGACTTGAAATGTATTGACTACTTGCCGGGCGTCTTGTCCAGCTAGCAATCGTCCAAGGGCTTGGTGTCGCTGATTTCTTGTCAATCTTGGCAAGTGGGAGCAATTCAATAACAAATTAATGTTATCCGATCTGGTGGATTTTTATAAGGCAAGAAATGGGGGAACGCATGTGCATTTCAATTTGTACGGAACGTGCATTGGGTTACCATGGCCGTTGCCGTGATGCGTTTGGGCGATCGATTGTATTGTCATCTGCTTTGGGGTTTTTATCATCAAATTTAAGTTTTCCGGACAAGGTACTGTAAAATTTGAAAATCGTTGATAAAAATTACCTAGATATTTAAGTGACAACTTTTCATGCAGTGTTACTTGGGGTGATGTTTCTTTAACGGTTCAGTGTACTTAGAGACGAACTATTAAGTATTCTGATTGGCGTGTGCATGTGCATGTTTATTGAAACATATACTTATATCAATTATTTACTTAAAACATAAACATGCCTGTTCATAATTCAACTGCATGGTCATTTCGGAACATAATAATATTTACAACATAACCCCATGAAAATTCTAAAAGTTTCACATCATATTCACTGACCGCCTTGTGGATGAGCGTCGCCCAGAGAGCCATAACAAACGGCTGGCTGGCTATGAGTCAGTATACTGTGTCTAAATGGGTATTAATGTTAAACTGCGGCATTGTATCTCAGTGAGCTAGCACTATAAATTGGCATCAGTCCGGACTAGTACACGCAGCCACACACACACATACACGTGCATGCACGTCGCTATATAAGTGCAATAATCTTGGACGCGACGTTAAACCCAATTTCACCTCACCTCACCATCACCTCATATTCATAACCTTACATGATACTCTCTTCAAGCCAGTTTAACAGAAAACTGATAGCTATTCAATGTGCGTTAACACATACACTGCGTACACAGGAAACGAATTCAAGGCAGGGGGTCGAGCCATATGGTGGAGGGGGTGGTATCGTGCGGGCAGGGCTGAACACCACTGATGAGGATCAATGTATATCTCTCCTTCCCACAACTTCCTCCCCACACGATAACACCCCCTCACCATATGGCACGACCCCATGAACGCAACATGGCGCCGTTCGGTCTCCTCTTTGGCGGTAAACACTCTGTCTTCCATCAGCCCTAAAGAGCTATTTGGTAATATTATTTAACCTGATTTTGGAAATGTGTAATGGTTGGCTGGTTATTTTTCATTTTGCATCTATAAATGTGAAATGTGGCCAATAAGAGTATCAGATCAAAAATATCATCGGTGTGAAAATGTTTTGAAAAGCCAAAAAGAATTAGGTCTGAAGTAAGATTTATCTTGCCAGTATGTGGACACTCGGATTCAATTCATTGTGAAGAGACAGTCCATTTAAGACAATCGGTGCATGAATAAACAATCTGTCTATTTAGCTATCACTATATTTCATCAACAACCAGACCTGTTCGTCACGGGTGGAACGAGCATTCATTGAAACAGCCATCTGCATAATGCTACCCCTGCGTCACAGGGCCATATGACACAGTTGAACCAACCAACTCAACTCGAAAGGGTTCATAGGAATCACGCACATTGAGACGCCTAACGCTAACACCGTTGACTGGAGTAGGTCCGATAGTTTTTCAGATATTGTAGTAAACGTCGGTACCTTAAATTACCTTCCAGACAATACACCACTGGAATATTTGTTATATATTATTCATATAATTTCCACTGCTCTTTCCTCTTTACATCCACTGGAATTTCATTTGTCGGATAATGGTAAATGGCTATTCTCTGTCGTTGAAGCTCTTATTTTCAAAATGTTTCAAGTAATTATAATTGCTTAAGTCATAGCACATTCCAAGACTATTGGTACATGTGGATGCTGAGGTCTAGTTCCAGTTCCTATTTTGGACAGGTTGATGTGTTATTTCCAATGGTTGTTGGGTTGGACCCAAATCTCCAAATGTGTGTGTTTGTGTTCTACAAAATGTCGTTATTTCCAGGGACCCGTTCCACAAAGCGATCTTAGTGCTACGACTGTCGTAAGGCAGTGTTAAAGAATGGGAGTTACGACGGACTTAGCGCTAAGATAGCTTTGTGGAACGGGGCCCAGGTGTCTGGTGGCGGGCAACTGATCTTTACTAATGATTCTAAGATTCTACATTCAGGGACGTGTCTCTAATTTCGAAGAATGGGATAGAATAATGGAATTGGCAATAGTGCCAGTGGTAGGCTTATGTACACAACCAGAGAATATAATGTCACACATTGGTGATTGCTTCACACTTTGATCTCCCTTACCTATCTGGAAGATGCACTATCCCATGTTAATTACCAACTTGCCTTTTCAAATTCTAAACTCTTAATGTCTTTTCTTGCAAAGATTAAAAACAGATTCTGATTATGGAATATAGCTTTTTATTCTCATTTCTAAAATGTGAATCAATCGTTATATAAGAATTGTCTGGGTAGATGCCCGCCCTCTTTATTAAATAAAAGCGACAAAGCCCTTCAGATATTTATAAGAAAGATTTGCCTTCCATTGTACAATTCCGACTATATCATGAATATGTGCTTATGAATCACTATCAAATAGTGATGACTCCAGGTTTTCACTAAAAGGTGAGAATACTCATACCCCGCCCCACCGGTGGTACCTGTCACAAACACATGCAAAGACAAGTCAATTGTTCCCCTGAACAAACACTGGAACACATGCTACAGGTCAACAAGGAGAATTGCATCGAACACACTGATGAGTCAGAATTTGACATTTCCTTCACATCTACCATTACACTTTTTTAAAAGTTGACTGTTGTAACTCTGATGAAGAAACTTTTGAGCAAGTGTGGTAAAAAACACAGTTGTGTATGACTAATTACAGGAGAAAAGAGAACTTTCGTTACGGGTACAACTCCAGCTAAGGTTCCGACTATACTGAACCAAATTAAAAACTTCCAAATCCTAAAATTTTAATATTTTTACCAGTTATCGATGTGGGCCCTTATTGTGTTTTTTAAACAGTAATGGCCACGTATTGTCTTCAGATAACACCCGCTGTTGTGCAGGTGAATCAATCAAAATCATGTGCACGGCACTATAGTCGCAAAAGTGTTTTTTCACGTGCAACTGGTCACGTGGCCATAATACCAAAAAAGAAAAACACAAGAAAACAAAAGTCTGTACGGCCATTTGTCATGCAACGCCTTTCAAATGTGCAACGTGAACGTGCCATCGGCATGTTGCAGACGGGAGTGAGTGAGTGAGTTTGGCTTAACGTCGCTTTTTACAGTATTCCAGTCATATCACGGCGTGTCAGCTTTATGTGGGAGGAAAGCCTGAAGTGATGCAGGTCTTAGACGTTTACCACTTCGGTGAAACCCACAAGCATGGGTATGGTGCTGACAAACCTAGAAACATAATCGGGGCGAACCGGGATTCGAACCCAAAATCAAAAGTTTCTGGCGTGCCTAAGGGACTCAACTCTGCACAGCGAATCCTAAGACGACTGGGTCACCCGCAACGGTAGCTGGACGTTGGTTGTCATCCGTGGCAACCTCAACGCTGCTGCTTACCGCGACCAGGTACTGGCACCAGAACCTCTGCCTTTTATGGCAGCACATGGACCTGGTTTGATCTTCCAACACGACAATGCCATTTCCTACACACCAATTTTGACAAGGTATTTCCTTCAGAATGCGGGAGTCAACATCATGGACTGGCCGTCAACGTCTCCCGACCTCAATCCTATCGAACACGCCTGGGATGCTCTTGGCAGAATTCTGCGCACACTCCAGAACCAACCACGGAATTTGCAAGATCTTGGCACCATTTGGCAGCAACAATGTCGTCGTCTTCCCAATCATGTGTTCACAACCATCATAAGGTCCATGCGGAGGCGTTGTGTGGCAGTTGTCAACGCACATGGTGGCCATACACGCTACTGAACTTTTGTGCCATCAGATTCTCGTGCTTGGGACTTATGATTTAAACTGTTGATGTTATTACCGAATACCGTAGGTGCTTGGAACAAATTATGGTTACGACCGTCAATTAAAATCCTTCTTTGGATATTAATTATTAAAAATTACCTTCTCCGATACATTTGTCCGTTGTATATATTGTACCCATTTTGAATAGCTGGATTCGCTGCTAGCCATAATTTTAACCGTAGTTATACCATAGTTATACCGTATACCATAGTTATAGACTCGAAGAAGAAATATATCTACAACAACCACTAACATTACTTACACATAGCAATATATCCGATTATAAGACAAATTATATAAACAAAATGTACTTCCAAATATACACCATCTGGAAATATATAACATGGAAATAATGAACATGGACAATGGAAATACAAAAAATAGCTAAAAATAATAAAGAAAGTATATCTTGTATCTGTAGATTAATTTTGTCTCAGGTGACATCAGGAATCCTTCATATTTGCTGATTTTGTGGACAATGAATGAATGTCTACAAGTTGAGTGTATCATGGTAAAATGTTTAGATGCATGTATCATGACTGCTTAATTGAAGGTAGACATGGTATGCTGACATGTTTTTAAATGATTTTTTCGCATTACAAACTAGCGGAAGGAATATAGGATATTTTCGTACGCTCGGCACGCACGGAAGTAAGTGGACATTAAAAGTATTTCAATGAGTTCCGTTTCTCAAGTCTAAATCAAGTGGTTACAATAAGAATATGTAACACTTTTAGAAATGTCAGCATTGGTGCCCTGATTGAGCAACCGTATAACATTACTGGTTTTAGCTTAGTTGCTGTGTTTTTCCCTATTTTCGCTTCCTGTTTCTAATGATATCTGATGCATATTTTGGCGTCTTCCCAATAAGTACTCTCTGACCCTTCTACGATAGCGCACTAGAATTAAGACAATAATAATAATAATGACTCCCATGACAGTCAGTCCGATAGCAAGACCTGTACTGTCATCTGTTGGTCCAGTGGATACGCTTGCCTCTGTTGTTGGTTTTTCAGATGTTGCTTGTGAACCTGTCAGAGCAGTATTTCCAAGGCTTGAGTTCGGTATTTCTGAAACAACGAAAGACTCATCAACGTCAATACAGTGACATTCAGTCATCTGAGTCATGCAAATCTTGCTCAGGTGCAATGTACACATATTACGACACACGGGACCTTCCGAATCACAATCTTTATAATGAATATTTTCAAAACTAGAAAAGAACATTCAATTACTATTTTACAGAATAGGATTAAATATAGAATCTCACCCATGATTCTCGGAGCAATCCTCGGAGTTTTTCCTCTTTTATCAACTCGTGTTGAAATATTTCATATCAAAAGACACCAGGGTGGGATTTTATTTATCATCCAGTATCATTCTTAAATCAAAATATGCGAAGAAAAAATGTGTGATCTATAAAAGCGATATCTACAATTCATCTCCCTTGGGAACCAGTTTGGGATATAAATGGATATTTACAACAAGCACTTCGCTTTGAAGTGTTGATTAGTCATGCTTGCCATGAGAACAGCCTGATTTTTCTGAATGTGGCGTATAACAGGACTCAATACAAGACATCATGACAATCAAATACCCCTGGACTAGTCCAAGGTCTCGGCGTAAGGGGCATCCATTGATTGGACCACTTTGAGAAGAACGTACCTGTCGATGTCGCTGATGCTGTAGATATTGAGGGAGCTCCTGGAATACAGGACGTTACACTGTAAAATCGGATTACAGAACCAACCCCCCTACCCACCTACCAAATCAAAAGGTCTGACCGTATTTACCCTGCAGAGATGTTAAGAATTACAATATGAGCTTTATCAAGAGGACAACAGTAGTATTTAAACACAGTAACTTGACAGTTTGTGTTCTCCTATAAGAAATAGTACCGGAACAATGTTTCACCTAAAATTGAACATGACACCAATAACAAAACTAGTTTTTCCAAAAGGTTTTGCCTTATATTGTTTCACATTATTGATCAGAATACATAACAAATTGTACCTCTAGACGTTGGTCTAGCAGTTGTGGTTGTGGGAACAGCTTCTGTGAAGAGATCAACATTTGCCCTTTTACTTCGTAGACGTGTCACTAGAGACATGTTATAATTATAGACATGTCTTTGTCCTTGTTATTTTTCCTCGAAAACTTTCTTACTACAGACGCACCTTCTAGCCTTCTAAGTATTTGACATGAAGATCACATAAATAACGTAAATGAAGGATAACTTTATTATCCTCGCTGTCAGAAACGTGGTAGTTGTGGGGCCAGCTATACAGGCATTTTCAATCACCTGCGTGTAGAGAGTGCAGTACAGAGAGTAAATTCTTATACTATACGCGTATTTATTAAGTATTTTAATAATGAATGTGAGCAGAAAAAGGATATCTTTTAAACAAGACATACTTGCTTGAGATCTTCGGTAAGAAATAGTACTAGAAATAATACATCACCTGAAGTAAACATGAAAACACTCGGTAATAACGCTACTTTTATGTTAATGTGAAAATAACCCTGTAGTTTTTGTCTTATATTGTTCATACTAGACGCGGGATTTTAGTTGGGTTGTTGGAGCAGCCTCTGTAAAAAGCATATCATGTGTTATAATATCACATAATATCATGTATTATGTGTGTATTGTATGATATTTCCACAAAAATATTTCCATGTAGTAATGTAGTCCATGGACAGCTCTCATATGGTGTACGTATTGTTGGAAAATTGCTTTTATGTTGGATTTCTTTACCAAAGGAGAGAAAGTACTACGTATATAAAAAGAGTGGTTTGATACCGTGGTTACTTTGTTTTTTTTCTATAATGTGTCATCGTATCGTTTGTGAGAAAGATCTTAACAACCATAAACTATCAGTTATGAAAAAGTATGAAACAGTAATTTTATATAATTGATATGGACAAGTGATACAGCCAGCATTTCATCATAACCTCCCCGGGTCTTGTGTTTTCAACATTGAACATTTTGGTTTCAATGAAAGCGACGAGACTCTTTTCGTTATCTTAATAATCAATTGTGCGATTCCGACTGTTGTGCATCACTGTCAAATTGTATTGAGGGCACATGTTTGCAAAGAGGTGAGCGAACCCTGCCTCCCTGGTAGCACCCTTTACAAACACACGCAAAGGCAAGTCAAGTGTTTATCTGAACACATACGGTAAAATGTGGTACAAGTCTAAATGCGGAATTGCATCGGACATCAACTTGGTCACCAATGCATCAGGTTTTAATCTGACCTCATACGTCTCCCACAGAACGTTTATTCAAAGCTTTACTGAATAAGGCCTTGATTGTTATGATCCTGATCAAAGAACTTTTTATTCAACGTTGAATGGCTTTCTAACTTTTAACTTATTTTAGATGTCTGATGTATCTAAGTTTATAAGTTCTATGTTCAATTTCTTGTTTGTATTTTCACGAAAAGGTAAAACGTTGACGTTATTAAAACCTAGTATCAGCACAGTGGTTCCGTAGATTCCGTAAGTCTTTCGAGAAATATATTTAATGTTTTTTGTTTTGTTTTGTTGTTTAACGCCCCACTGAGCAATATTCCAGCTATATGGCGGCAGTCTGTAAATAATCGAGTCTGGACAAGACAATCCTGTGATTGACATCATGAGCATAGACCTACACAAATGGGATACATTTATCAACCATACCCTATGTATTACAATGAATACCAACCACTCAGTTTAACAATACCACCGCAGGTGAGGGTCTCCGTGTTGTTGCCACACATAAAGTTGACACTGACGTCTCCAAACCGATCAGCTGTGACAATGAGGGAGGATATTAAAGCTGAATAAGATATATTGTCCATTGTCTGGTTTTGCAGTAGTATATTTGTAATGGCAGCAGTAGTCAGAGTAAATCCAGCTTGTTGAGAACAGTAGTAGTTATGGATGTCAGCTGTCAGAGTGAGATTAGTGCCAGGTTCCAGGGCGTTGGTGTCCATGTCGCTGCTGATGTTGCACTGTGGTGGACCTGGCAGTAAAGAAGCAAATGTACTTAATACCGAAGTATTAGCAGTGTCATACCAATGTTATGACGAGGAAAGCAAAAACATAAACATAAACCACAAAAGACACTAGCAGTATGAAAACGGCGAACTGTGCGAGTAAAAGTTAAAATTTCATACATTCTACATTCTACATCCAACATCCTCGACAACAATAAAAATAATAATAATAGTAATAATAATGTGTTGTTGATTGGACAAAACAAGAAATTCAGGGTATTGACACCCTCACGCGAAGATTCATGTCAGACAATAGATCCCATCGCCCTCGCTCCTCCCTCAATCGCTTATATTTACCAGTTATGATGGGAGGGCGTGGTTTGATTAATGTGGAGGCTCTTCATGATAGAATTGTTTTGTGCACTTTTGCACACAATTATTTGTCTGATGATCCTCTTGCAAAGCATGTCAAGGCTCACGAGGAAAACAAGGGATTCCACAGTTTGCGGGCCAAGGATGTGGGACATAATCGCAATGTCATTCTTTATTTTGTTGATGGTTGTGTACTGCTGAACGGTACAGAAATGAGTGTCAAGCGAAGTGCCATATCAAGTCGGCCCAGATTCAGTTTTTTCAAGGAGAGGCTATCTGAACGGCCACTGCATCGAGTTTATGTGCAGTGTATTGAGAAGATCAGCAATCCCGCAGAGTCATTTGCTTGAATGAAGTCGTCTGGCCTGAAAAGTGAAACAGAAGGCTTTCTGTTTGCTGCTCAGGACCAGTCACTTCCCACTCGAAACCGTCAATGTGTGATTTTGCATCCGTATGTAAATATCAAATGTAGATTATATTATGAATTTTATGAGACTGTTCAAAACATTGGCAGTGGATGCCCAGTATCTTGAGCGAGTCATGGTGGCGTGACTCGATCATTTTATTACCGTCTTCACCATGCTTGTGGTTTTGACAGAGACGTCCATCCATGGTACGACCCGGAATATGTAGAGGGCGTCATGGAAAATGATAAATACAAAATCCTTTGGAATAGTCCCGTAGCCTCAGACCAATCCAGGCCAGCAGACCTGATCTTGTCCTTTTTGATAAATCCATTGAAATCACATATATCATTGAACATTCTGTCCCTTCTGACACTAATGTGATTGACAAGATTCAGGAAAAACATGGCAATACGCAGATCTCACTTTCGGTTCCGTGAAGATCCTGGTTAAAATAGGTCTTCAGCAGCCAGTGCTTGTCGTAATAGGCGACTATGTTTGTCGTAAAATGTCAACTGACGGGATCCGGTACTCAGGCTCGCTGACTTGGTTGATGCATGTCATCGATCCCAATTGCGTGGATCGATGCTCATGATGCCAATCACTGGATTGTCTGGTCCAGACTCAATTATTGACAGGCCGCCGTCATATAGCTGGAATAATATTTAAAACTAGTGTGTAACCTAAAAAATATATTAGTATACATAAACAGTGAATTTTAAAGCCGGCCAGAGATCGCTGGCAATCTAAGGCTACCGTACTGGGGACCCTGGTGACTACGGTACATCTACTACCTGTACGTGTGATATTAGAGAGTCGTGCCATTGATGATGTATACCGCATTTTTCAGCAATACAAGACATCACTGTGGTATGCTAAAAATAAGGCAACGTGGACCAAGAAATGTCAGCTAACATGGATATATGAACAGATTGTGTCAGAAGGTCAACTTGAATTACAACTCACTTTTCAACAGGTCCTGGACACCCTCACATTGCAGAGGCCAACTTCCGTCACACATTAAGTTTATTGACACATCGCCTAATCGGGTGATATCTACCTTGAAGCTTGTGTTAAGGGTCAAGTCTGACACATCACTGACGTTGTGTTTCGTGGTCAACGCTTCAGTCACAGCACCAGTAGTCAGATCAAAGCCCGCCTCCCGAGAACAGTAGTAGCCTGTGATGTCCACTGTTAAAGTCAGCTGTGCTCCAGGTTCCAGGGAGTCGGTGTCCTCGTCACTGCTGATGTTACATTGTGGGATCTCTGGTGGCAGGATAATGTGAAGAAAGTGATTTAACAACACACACATTCGTGAAAGGGAGTTAGTTGTATAATCTGACAGCATCTATTGCTCATCCAAATATATCATTAACACATTCGCTGTTTGTTTCTTTTGAAAGACACGTTACCAAATATCTTCAGGGGTTCACTATGACTCGATAATTACCTTTACTCTAGATACTGACTTTTTCAATAGGTTTGGAACCTAGTTATAATTACATCTCAAATGGTTATAAAGCCGTGGAGTGTAGGGTAAACTACATGGCCGTACAGCAACTTTTTGAACAAAGCATAGCATTTGGACAATTTTCCTTTAAAATTAATTTGAGAAGCACATACTGTTCTAGTTTTCAATTGCAATTTTTTTTAAACATATCAAGAATCAGAGATTAACAAAACACAAATGAAAGCCAGCCAGGATCAATCAGATACCAGATGTACTCGTTAGAGGAATTAAACACTCACTAACTGTCGTCAGCGGACACACGTCGACAAGGATGCCATCTACGACAGTCGCATCCACGATCTTCCACGTACCAACATCTTGCAACCCAACACTGATTATAGTGAGTGTAGAGTGTGTGGCGTTCATAGTTGCACTGTACCCAGCCACGGGGCTGCAGCTGGGGTTGCAGGTGGCGACATACCGACCGTCAGTTGGTCGTACCCATATAAAGCCTGTATAGTTGCTTCTGTAACCAGTTATGGTGTAATCTGTCGCCAGTGTTGCCACTCCACCTGGACACGTGGAATCTGTGGGGGCAGCATCTAGAATGAAACAGGTTTTGTTACTAATATTGCTTTTAGAATATCTTCTCTGCTATTTATTTTTTTTATTACCTTTTTGTCAGCGCCATAGCTGCTAACTTCACTGAAGATATAAACCACCATGCATAACTTTCCTCACACATTAAGCCAATGCGCCATGATGAAACTGCTTTAAACCATCGGTCCTTTTTACCTCGGATAAAGCCATTGGTATTAAGCATATGACCCATCGCAAAAAAGGACTGCGCGCCATGTGATTCATGCTAGATTATTCCAATATTGACAGAGAGGAGTGGCTTACGATTCAATTGGAATAGTACACTTGACGCTGCTTTTGGCAGACATTTCTCATGATTATGCAGGTGGCTTTTGTCACTTTTATGAAGACTGCAGTACTAGTTAAGTTACCGGCAGACCGGTTCAGTGTGGACAACATATTCGAATAGCACTGCACTATGTTTAGCAACTAAATCATGTGGTCAGGTTGGAGATTTGTTTACGTGTGATGGTATTCAGACATCATGGGACGTCACTCATAATACCGCACTCTGACCCGTTTTGACACAGCTGGGACATTGCTGAATAACAACCATCAAACAGCAAAAAGAGCTGAAACCAGACAAGGGGTGGCAGTGCGACAAGATGACTGCTGCAGACCTCATTACTGTTTTAGCGCAGCAGTTTAAGGATAAGGATAAGGATAAGGATAAGGATAAGAATAAGGATAAGGATAAGAATAAGGATAAGAATACGGATAAGGATAAGGATAAGAATAAGGATAAGAATAAGCATAAGGAGAAGGATAAAAATAAGATAAGGATAAGAATAAGGATAAGAATAAGGATAAGAAAAAGGATAAGGATAAGAATACGGATAAGGATAAGGATAAGAATAAGGATAAGAATAAGGATAAGAATAATAATACGGATAATAATACGGATAAGGATAAGAATAAGGATAAGAATAAGGAGAAGGATAAGAATAAGAATAAGAATAAGATAAGGATAAGAATAAGGATAAGAAAAAGGATAAGGATAAGAATACGGATAAGGATAAGGATAAGAATAAGGATAAGAATAAGGATAAGAATAAGGAGAAGGAGAAGGAGAAGGAGAAGGAGAAGAATAAGGAGAAGGAGAAGGATAAGACTAAGGATAAGGATAAGGAGAAGGAGAAGGAGAAGGATAAGAATAAGATAAGGATAAGGATAAGAATAAGGATAAGAAAAAGGATAAGGATAAGAATACGGATAAGGATAAGGATAAGAATAAGGGTAAGAATACGGATAAGGATAAGAATAAGGATAAGAATAAGATAAGGATAAGAATAAGGATAAGAATAAGATAAGGATAAGGATAAGAATAAGGATAAGAATAAGGATAAGAATAAGGATAAGGATAAGAATAAGAATAAGAATAAGAATAAGGATAAGGATAAGAATAAGAATAAGAATACGGATAAGGATAAGGATAAGAATAAGGATAAGGACAAGGATAAGGATTAGAATAGGAATAAGGATAATGATAAGAATAAGAATAAGGATAAGGATAAGAATAAGGATTAGAATAGGAGTAAGGATAATGATAAGAATAAGAATAAGGATAAGGATAAGGGTAAGAATAAGGATAAGGATAATGATAAGGATAAGAATAAGAATAAGGATAAGAATAAGGAAAAGAATAAGGATAAGAATAAGGATAAGAATAAGAATACGGATAAGGATAAGGATAAGGACAAGGACAAGGACAAGGACAAGGATAAGAATAAGAATAAGAATAAGGATAAGGATAAGAATAAGGATAAGGATAAGAATAAGAATAAGGATAATGATAAGAATAAGAATAAGGATAAGGATAAGGATAAGGATAAGAATAAGGATAAGAATAAGGATAAGGATAAGGATAAGAATAAGAATACGAATAAGAATAAGGATAAGAATAAGGATAAGAATAAGGATAAGGATAAGGATAAGAATAAGAATAAGAATAAGAATAAGAATAAGGATAATGATAAGAATAAGAATAAGGATAAGGATAAGGATAAGGATAAGAATAAGATAAGGATAAGGATAAGAATAAGAATAAGAAAAAGAATAAGGATAAGAATAAGGATAAGGAGAAGGATAAGAATAAGATAAGGATAAGGATAAGAATAAGGATAAGAATAAGGATAAGAAAAAGGATAAGGATAAGAATACGGATAAGGATAAGGATAAGAATAAGGATAAGAATAAGAATAAGGAGAAGGAGAAGGAGAAGGAGAAGAATAAGGATAAGGATAAGGATAAGGATAAGAATAAGAATAAGATAAGGATAAGGATAAGGATAAGGATAAGAATAAGAATAAGAATAAGGATAAGAATAAGAATAAGGATAAGAATAAGATAAGGATAAGAATAAGAATAAGAATAAGGATAAGAATAAGGATAAGAATAAGGATAAGGATAAGGATAAGGATAATATAATGATAAGAATAAGGATAAGGATAAGAATAAGATAAGGATAAGGATAAGAATAAGGATAAGGATAAGGATAAGAATAAGAATAAGGATAAGAATAAGGATAAGAATAAGAATAAGATAAGGATAAGGATAAGAATAAGAATAAGAATAAGGATAAGAATAAGGATAAGAATAAGGATAAGAATAAGGATAAGGATAAGGATAAGGATAAGGATAAGATAATGATAATGATAATGATAAGAATAAGAATAAGGATAAGAATAAGGATAAGAATAAGGATAAGAATAAGAATACGGATAAGGATAAGGATAAGAATAAGGATAAGAATAAGGATAAGAAAAAATGATAAGGATAAGAATACGGATAAGGATCAGGATAAGAATAAGGATAAGAATAAGGATAAGAATAAGGATAAGAATAAGAATAAGGATAATAATACGGATAAGGATAAGGATAAGAATAAGGATAAGAATAAGGATAAGAATACGGATAAGGATAAGGATAAGGATAAGAATAAGGATAAGGATAAGGATAAGCATAAGGATAAGGATAAGAATAAGAATAAGGATAATAATACGGATAAGGATAAGGATAAGAATAAGGGTAAGAATAAGGATAAGGATAAGAATAAGGATAAGAAAAAGGATAAGGATAAGAATAAGGATAATAATACGGATAAGGATAAAGATAAGAATAAGGATAATAATAAGGATAAGAATACGATAAGGATAAAAATAAGGATAAGGATAAGGATAAAAATAAGGATAAGTTTTATTCGATACTGAAAGGCCTCAGGCCCATAGTGCAATTCTGTTTTCGGGAGAGGTTATAGTATTCTGTGAAAATAGTTGTCTTAAAAAGCTTGTAATAATTGCATTTCTTTCTGAACTTAAAACATGCGATGGCCATTTTTAATGAAGTTTTCATGATTTATAGAGAATACCTGTAGTCGGAAGATTTGGCGTTGTTGTTGTGAACACGGCTGTGCCTGTTCCTTCCGTGGTTTCTGCTGATGATAACACTGTTGAAAAAATGTCATTGTACATGCAAGAAAACGGAAGACAGGATGCGTGTATTGCACACGTACTATGACCCATTATTGCATGCATAAGTCATAGGAAAACGATGAGAGATAAAGGACTATGGCAGCAATGGACACAACTATGTAATAGAACGTATTGGTTTCTGTTTGTCCGTTGTTTAACGCCGCACTACTCTAGGTGTATGAAGGTGTCCTGTTAATAATCCAGCCTGAAACAGACTATTCATTGATCGACAGCATGGGCATCGATCCAGGCATTAGGGATGCGATGACATGCATCAAGTCAGCAAGCCTGACCACTCGATCCCGTTAGTCGCCCTTTATGACTAAGGTGGGTTGCTAAAGACCCACACTAACCAGGATCTTGACTAGGGTGTTTCGTTGCAATGATTGAATGTGTAGAAATGAGTACGTTATATCAGCAACATGGATTAAAAATTGTTATAGTGGGGTCGTGGTAGTTTAAATGTGCATGATTGTGATGATGAATGTTTCACTTTCCGCAAGTACCTGATGTTGTAGTCGCATCCCCTGGAGTAGAGGCTGCATCTGCTCAAATATAAGTGAATCATAATTATCCACATTCGTTATTGCAACTGCAAGACATTATCTAACTAGCCTTCAAGCTTCATTCATGCCTAAGAGAGCCCCTATGTCTTTATTTTACATGCTGGCCTTCCTGCCATCCCTCGTTCATAAGGTACCTTATCTCACAGCTATCTAAAGCATATACATGATTTACAGTGTATACCAACGGATAAAATAGCTCTGCTTCATACCAGTTCAATAGGAATAGTGTTATTCCGAAATTAGATTATGCATCTTTCAATACATATTCATGCAAACATCTCTTTGATTTAAATTTGGAATAAACATATTTCGTACCTTTTGGATCATCTGGTCTCTTCATTACACTGCCTCACCTTGCACCCGCTGCCTCACCTTGCACCCACTGCCTTACCTTGAACCCACTGCCTCACCTTGCACCCACTGCCTCACCTTGCACCCACTGCCCCACCTTTCACCCGCTGCCTCACCTTGCACCTACTGCCTCACCTTGCACACACTGCCTTACCTTGCACCCACTGCCTCACCTTGCACCCGCTGCCTCACCTTGCACCTACTGCCTCACCTTGCACCCACTGCCCCACCTTGCACACGCTGCCTAACCTTGCACCCACTACCTCACCTTCCACACACTGCCTTACCTTGCACCCACTGCCTCACCTTGCAACCGCTGCCTCACCTTGCACGCACTGCCTTACCTTGCACACACTGCCTCACCTTGCACCCACTGCCCCACCTTGCACCCGCTGCCTCACCTTGCACCCGCTGCCTCAACTTGCACACACTGCCTCACCTTGCACCCACTGCCTAACCTATCACCCACTGCCTCACCTTGCATCCACTGCCTCACCTTGCACCCACTGCCTCACCTTGCACACACTGCCTCATCTATCACACACTGCCTCACCTTGCACACACTGCCTCACCTTGCACACACTGCCTCACCTATCACACACTGCCTCACCTTGCGCACACTGCCTCACCTTTCACACACTGCCTCACCTTGCACCCACTGCCTCACCGTGCACCCACTGCTCCACCTTGCAACCGCTGACTCACCTTGCATCCACTGCTCCACCTTGCACCCACTGCCTCACCTTGCAGCCACTGCTCCACCTTGCACCCACTGCCCCACCTTGCACCCACTGCTCCACCTTGCACCCACTGCCCCACCTTGCACCCACTGCCTCACCTTGCAGCCACTGCTCCACCTTGCACCCACTGCCCCACCTTGCACCCACTGCTCCACCTTGCACCCACTGCCCCACCTTGCACCCACTGCCTCACCTTGCACCTACTGCCCCACCTTGCACCCGCTGCCTCACCTTGCACCCGCTGCCTCACCATGCACCCACTGCCTCACCTT